AGGAATGCCTGCCCTCGTGGAGCTTACACTCTACTGGCAGGTCATGAAAGTCCAGAGAAACCAGTTGGGAACCACTGTAATAACCCCATGAAAAATGGTGAGCACCAAACTTAAGCTGTGTCAAAAGGTAAAGAGACAGAATTCTTTAGAATACGGAATTAATGGGCCTCAGTGATAATTAGATATGGGAGGTGAACAAAAGGAGTCAAGTTGATCCCAGGTTTCCGGTTTCTGTGTCCAGATAACCAGTGATGCCATTCACCAAGTAAATAATACAAATGGAGAAATACATTGAGGGGAAAGATGATTGGTATAATTTTGTCTTGTTGAATTCCCAATGTCTTTGGCGTCTTCTGACGGAGAGAGATATCCAGTAGGCAGTTGGATAGATATTTTAAGTCCAGAGCTCAAGAGAGTTTGGAACTGGAGAAAGAAACAAGATCCTTGAAAGTAAAGGTGATGAGAGTGAAGAAAGATTACCTAGTCTCCCCCATGTACAGTAAGAGGGTGAGAGGGCCAAGGGCAGCACCCAGGAGACCGTCAATGTGGAAGGAAGTATGGAGAATGCGGAGTCACAGAGAAGACAGAAGGATCAGCTGGAGAGGTAGTAAGCAATTCAGGAGAGAGGTTAGCAGTGGTGGGTGTGGCAGAGAGGCCAGGTAATGACTCCTGGAAATCACTGGATTAGCAGCTGGGGTACCTGGTGGCTCAACAAGGACCTTAAAGGGGAGTGTTGCAGGTGGACGTTACTGTGCAGCTGGACTTCATGGAGCCTGCAATAGAAACGCAATTCTTCTGACCTGTGGGATTCGGAATGTGTCTCCAAACTCACATAGAAACAATGACTTCTAATTTAAGGTATAAGAAAAATCAAGGGAGGGAGCCAAGATGTGTGGGTCCAACATCAGAGATCCTGCTGTCTCTGACTAGCCAGGTGTGAAGCACATTCTAAGCCTGCACTGCCCACTATAGTAGCCACCAGCTACATGTGACTATCAAACACCTGAAATGTAGCTGGAATGAATTGAGATGTTGTAAGTACAAACTACATTATAGATTGCAAAGAATTTGTACAAAATTTTTTTAAAAATAATTTTATATTGATTGCATGTTGAAACTATAATATTTTTGATATATTGGGTTACATAAAATATGTTATTAAAGTTAGTTTCACCTGGTTCTTTTTACTGTTTTTTAAATGTGGATACTAGAAAAATTTTTGTTGTTGTTGTTAATCCTCACCCAAAGACATTCTTCAGTTGATTTTTTAAGAGAGAGTGGAAGGGAGGGGGAGAGACAGAGAGAGAGAAACATCGATGTGAGAGAGACACATCAATTGGTTGCCTCCTGCATGCATCCTGACCAGGGCCAGGGATTGAGCTCACAACCGATGTATGTGCCCTTGACTGAAATCGAACCTGGGACTCTTCAGTCCATAGGCCAATGCTCCACTAAGCCAAACCGGCTAGGGCAGAAATTTTTGAATTATATATGTGGCCTGTGTTAAATCTCTACTACACAACACTGGCCTAAGCCTTGCCACTGATTAGAACCCCCACCACTTGGACCGTCCCTGGACTCACTAGCCTCCCAACATTCCTCCTAGCGAGAAGATAAATACCTGGAATGTCCACTATTGCATTCTATATGCACCCCTATGCCCCATGCTCCCAGTGCCATAACAATGACAAGAAATTCCAGTGCTTAATACCCATCTCCAGTTCCCCCAGTCCTGGTCCTTCATATTTTTTTTCTTTTTCTGGGTCTGTTGATAATCAGGTGAGAGCAGAAATGTCCTGTTCTCTCACAAAAGTGGATTTTTCCCCTCAGTGTAGAGTCCATAATCTCCCAACCCTAAATTTAGAAGCCACATCTTCTCCCTGTTTTCCCCATTCCTCAACTCCTTTGTGTTTCTGAAACTGTGGAAATTTCCCAAATTGATATAAACACGGTGTTGTGGCAATAGCACAGGCTGTAGTCTCTCAGACTTAATTTGTCATATTTCCTAACCATGTGACCTGGAGCAAAACACCTCATATCTCTAAGCCCTCATCTGAAAAAATGTGGATAACTCCTACCTGGAAAAGTTATTGTGATAATTATATGAGTTCAGATGTATAAAATGCCTTGTACAAAACCTAGCACACAGTAGGTACTTTATAATTTGTGGATCCCCCTTTACATCTTACCCCTGCATATTTGGAGAGCT